TTAATTGCAGGATCATCCAACTTCTGAAGTTGGGTGATGTCTGGGTCAGTTGAAAATGACTTTTCATATTTAAAAAGAACTTGGCGAGGTTTGTCTCTTTCTTCATCAGATGTCAGAGTGTCGGTTTGAGCGACCACCTGTTCAATCTGTGATGAGACTGATGAGGGTTCTTGCTCCATGGGGAGCTCCAACGAATCCTTTTCTGAGTCGTCGGACCTGTCTATGGGTAAGACACCATAGGTTTGTGGTCCTTGGTCGACGTCATCAGTTGAGAAAAGAGCGATGGCCTGTGATGGTTTCGTGAAACATACTGGCCCAGCTTCTTGACTCGGTACCAGGTTATCTGGGAGTCCTCCCAGAACTGGAATGCCTAGTTCAAAATCATGAAAGTCAGGTTCTGACTTTTCAGTTTGTGATGACTCATCATCGTTTGTGTGTGAGTTTATCCCCCCTTCGTCCGATGAGGGGTTCTTGGAGGCAACAACAGCAATGTCTTGGTGTGTTTCACCGACATCTGTAATGTTGTCATTCGCGCCTTCAGATTTAGTAGCGATCAGATCACTACACTGTGCTCCTGGTTGGGTTCCCATTTCAGCGTGTATCAAAGTTTCTAAAAACCTTTGTATTTCCTCTGTCTCTTCCGAGCTCAGAGGTGTAGGGCCTTTTTTCTGGAACCTTTGTGATTTTTTCGCCTCGGGACGTTTTGTCCGAGGTGGGAGGCGGCTAGGTACGTCTTTGGTGGGTTCCTCTTCGGATTTCCCCTGATAATATGGGTCCTCTTGGATCCCATATCTTTGCGTCCTACGCATATCCCATTTACGATAATCACGTTCATCCTCTGAAAGAGGACCCTTTTTGTTCCAGCGTGCACCTTCATTACGTGGTTCGTTAGTTTGACAATACTGCCTTTTCTCGCCTGTTTTAGGAGGAGGTGACGCGGCGCGCCTTCCTTCCATTCCTAGGGAGTGGGGTTTAACCTTTACACCAGGAAACACCTCTATGGGCGTCTTAGCATGAGAACGTACCTCAAACACATTCACAGCACACTGTTTAATCTCATTTATAGATTTTTCTCTGAAATTTGCCATCATTTGCACTGACGTTTGTGTGTCAGTGTGGAGATTTTTGCTGAAAACAAATTTAAAATTTTCTTCTTCCTCCATTCCGGTTTCATTTCTGTTACCAAAATAAGCTTGGAAGATTCTTTTGTAATAAATTTTTGGATGTTCATTCTTTCCCTGCTTGACCTTGTCAGCGGCTGGGAAACCAGCAGGTCCCGTGCAGGGGTCGTACTCTCTGATCAAAGCTTCACACAGAAGGTTGTAATCCTTTCTCGTTGCATCAGGTAGACGCTCGATGAAGGTGAATACCTCTCTGCCCGAAGTGAGCCGTATCAGACTGATCTTATCCTCAACCGTAGCATTAGGATAATCTTTCAATCTGAATTCGAGATCTTTCAGGTACGCTTTTGTTCCAGTTGAACCCATCGGTCCAGGTACAAAGCGTTGTACATATTTTGAGAGTTTTAGCAGAACATCCATTGAAAGAGGAATTTTCCATGCACTCTGTTGCATGTTTGGTGGAGGAGACCTGTTCAGGTCTGTTCCTACCACTTTAGGTGAGGGTGGATGGATGAGTCTAAAAGCACCAGGTCTGTAAAAGATTTTTTGAGGTTCTGGTGTATTATCCCGACGCTGTTCAGGGTCTGGTTTGGATTCCAGACCACCTCGCCCCTCGTCAGAATTTTTATTTGTTGCTGCTCTTAGCTTCTCCTCACATGCTTTTAAGCGTTCCTGTGATGTATGATAATCACTTTTTAAACGCATACATAGCTCCAGTAATGTGTGTTTATCCATTCTGAGTTCTTCCAGATCTTTGTTAAGCACATCTATTTTGCTATTCAGCGAATCAATTTCTGCATTTGCATTTTGCTGTGATTGAAACATCTGTTCAGAATGTTTTTTTGTGAGGACTTCGTGTTCACTTTTAAATTGAAGGAAGTGTTCTTCAATTTTCTGAACCACCTCTTTTTCACCTTATTGCAAGGTAATCAGCTTTCTCAACAACCGTATAGAATGATTCTTTCAGCAAAATTGCAATTTTAGCCAGCTTTTCATAGTTTGACATTGAAATTTTTGTAGAGGTCACACTCTCTGCAACCTCCTTCAGATTGTCCACTAACTCTTTTGGGTTCATGCGGTCCGCCTGTTTTTGTCTATATGGATGTAAGGGTTCTGTCAGCAGCTTCAACGCATTCTCCAAGCAGTCCCTCATCCCATAAGGATCAAAGTCTTTTTCTAACACACCTGTCATGTTTTTCACTGTGTAGCACTTTATCTGTTTAAAACAGTTGCAAGCTTCAGATATTTTACAGGTAAATATTTGTATTCAAGTTGTCATTGAGTTTTCACACTATTTTAGCTTTGGGTTTACACAAAAGTACTGTTATAAGTCAACGTATTCAAATGTGAGTACCTGTCTGTAGGTTTTACCCCAATTCATGAATATTTAAGTAAATGCTCTCTGGCAGTGTTACTTTTTATGTGCTTATTTCTTAACAGATACTAGATTACCAAGTTTTTTTTAGTGTATTTTACTCTAAAGCACTGAATTTTTAATAAACCTGCAATTTTTCTAAAAAGTCTCACAGCAAATCAGTTTAAAGACACTTTTTAAACCGTTCTGTTCCAGAAATTTGCTATTTTAACAGTTACTCATAGAACCAAGTGGTGAAAAGAAAAAGAAAAGTTGATGATGTGTCAGGATTAATCAGTCTTTCTTCAGAAAAACTGTTATTACTCCTGTCCTCCTGCAAATCTTCTATTTAAAATTAAATAGGAAGATGTATTTTTAGGTGGCAACTTAAACAGAAAAGTTTCTTTTTCCTGATAAGTTTACGCTTATCTAGTGATTTTGCAATTAAACGTGTATTATCTTTCAAGCGAATGAGTAACTGATCAACTCTGTGAATATTTGAACCGTATCTTTTAAAAAGTTTCTAATTTTTCATA